TCAATCATTAAGAATGCATATAAAGCATTAACCACGTCAAGTATTATAAATAACTCCGTAATATATAAATCTATTAACTATAAAAATTAATTATGCTGCACAATTTGAATTTTCATGAAAAAGTATAATTTATATAATATTTGACTCTTCATGAAGTTTTATCAATTCTACACTTTCAAAATAAAAGAAATATTACAATTATAAGGCGCCTACTCCATCATAAAACTGGTTGGATAAGGAAAAAGAGTTACTCACTGATCGATACAAAAGTGATTGTGTCAAATTTAAACTGCTTGTTTGGTAGATAGGAAAAGTTTAGTGTAAAAGACCCATTTGGTAGTTTTAGATTAATGTATATGGAATATTTTGGAAGTAATAATGAAACAAGGTAACCTCCTTATGTTCAATATGAGTGATATTCATGGATACTTGAATCATTTGCAACCTTCTCATATTTAATATGTAAGATCCACGGATAGTTGAGTCATTGGCAACCTCAATAATATTTATTTCTATATAGGAAAATGTCCCTGATATTGGGTAAACATATGTATTTTTTCTCATACAGAACTACAAATATTAGTATAGCCTAAATATGTTGGATTGACCAAAATACCAAGTATTCCACAACCAACCTAAAAAGATAACTTGTGTTGTCAAATAGAAACACAATATAATAACCGATTGCTAGTGACTGCTACCACCACTGTTGGATTGCCACCGGTCTTAGGTCGATAGTCAAGTTTGTTGACCGTCATCACTAAACCCTAAATGATCATACCTCATGAGTCATGACCGCACAAAGTATGTGAAAATCTATAACTAATGATGTTAAATAAGGTTCTGAAGTTATGCCAAGCAAAAACCCCTTCCACGCCTTTTAGAACACTGCTTCCAACATGTAACTCCTCCATTCGTAATGAAAAATACGTCAATCAATAAAAGAAAATGCACTCAAAGACATTTTGATAGTTGTATATAATTCAGAACGAAATAACGAACTTATAACACAGAATCGTCACACACTGACACAAATAGTTGGCACGACTTTGTGCCAAATAAGTTGTGACAAAATTAATTTGATAATGATTTTGACGTGAACCAGTGTTGTATCCGTGTGAATTTCGTGCCAATTAAAGTTGTTGTTACAACCTTTATGGCACAATTTTGTGTAAGAAAATCAATGCCAAATCCATATCTACAGTGTATACTACAGAATCTCACATGTCCTTGGACTATATACATATATTTTTATCTTTGATTTATCCCTTTGAAAAAGATACATGTAATACTCCCTCAGTCTCATAGTGTATGATACAAGCGAGTTTAGTGAGGGCTTTAAGAAAATAATGGATAAAATTATTGTTGTACACTTCAAGCCTCCAAAAGTAAGACATGACCCACAAAATCTAATAGATGAAATGATAGAAAAAAGAGGGGGAGCAGGACACCATCGGAAAATAATTGATTTGCCGACAAAAGAGTGGCTTTTCGAAGCACACAAAATTCGGAAGAGATAGAACCGAGAACCGCTTCTTCTTCTTGATTTCCAATCTCGATTTCATAGAGTTTGCGCAAAGCAATAATGGCTGTTTTTTTACCTTGGTTTATTCAATCTTCTTCTTTGACACTTTTCCTTTATCATTCTTTTCAAAATAGATTGAAATACTTTGTTGGAGTCTAGCGTGGATTGCCCAATTGACAACATAATGCTTTGTATGGACTAGATTTCGCTGAGATTAACCTGACAAATCAATTCAACCCTTATCGCATCGCTCTCACATATCAAATGAGCATAACGTTTAAATGAAATGAGCATAGACAAATGAGAATTTGAGCATACTAGCGATTTCAAATGACATTTTGGATTTTTTGATGGTCATTTTGTAAGTTATGTATGCTCATTTGGTACTGATATTATGTTCATTTTAAAATGTCATATAAATCCATATTTCAAAAGTATTATATTAATTAAATTGCATTCATGAAGGAGTTGCTTATAGACACGAGACCACAAATCATGATACTCAATCACACAGATTCTAATACTCAATAACGGAGGTTTGATGCTCAGTTGAAATGTCTTAATGTTCAACGAACAAAACTTACCATTTTCATATCGATGCTCATCTTGTAAGTTACATTTGCTCATTTATATAGGTCGGATGCTCATTAAAATTCATTAATGCTCATTATATAGAAATCGTGATTTTTATCGATCTCACTATAGGAGGTTTGATGCTCAATGAAAATGTCGTAATGTTCAACTAACAAAGCAACTAACAAATTCATTAATACTCATTTTGTAAGTTACGTATGCTCATCTGGTACTGATCTTATGCTTATTTTGTAAATATCATATCAGTGCATTTTTAAAAGTACTATTCTACATTAGATTCACATATTGAAATTCATAGGAGTTGATTACAAATATATTGAAATGAATTTTTATAAAAGAATAAATAACAAAAAGAAAGTGAATTAGAAGTTATGAAGTAGAGATCACAATTCTGAATATTAGACTCTTGATACTCAACAGAATAGGTTTGATGCGCATTAAAAGTTCATTGTTACTCATTCTCCAGAAGTCATGATTTTCATATCAATAGTGGATGTTTGATGCTCAATTAAAATGTCACGATGTTCAACTAACAAGTCTTACGATTTTCATATCAGTGCGCATTTTGTAAGTTACGTATTCTCATCTGGTACTGATCTTATGGTCATTTTCTAAATGTAATATCAATAAAAGTTCATTAGCGCTCATTTAAAATTGTGGTTTCTGGTGAATGAGCATTGATAAAATTGTAATGAGCATGAGACCTATTATGTTGAGTATTTTGAACGAGCATTGATAAAATTGTGGTTTCTGGTGAATGAGCATTGATAAAATTGTAATGAGCATGAGACCTATTATGTTAATTATTTTGAAATATGCATTGATATAATATTTTAAATTGAGTATAAAACCAGTACAAAATGAGCATATATCACTTACCAAATGAGCAATGATATGGAAATCATAAGCTTTGTTAGTTGAGCATCAAAACATTTTCATCGAATATCAAACACCCTCTATTGAGTATCAGAAACATGCAATTGAGTATCATTATCTTTGCTCTCGAGTCTATAATCAACTTTCATGCGAATCTAATGTAATACGATAGTTTTGAAATATGGATTGATATGACATTTTAAAATAAGCACACAACCAATACTAGATGAACATACGTAACTTACAAAATGAGTATCGAAAACTTCAAAAGCTCATTTAAAAATCTCTGATGTGTTCAAATATTCAGTTGTGTATACTCATTTCTTTTAAATGTTATACTCATTTAGGTATAACATAAAAGTCATGTTAGTAAGATGATGGAGGAAGAGATAAAGTACCAAACATGGTGGATAAGGAGAAAATAGACTCTGGTCCGACCAGGTCTAATGCCCAAACTATTGCTGCTGTCCAGCCCGAAGCTGAACTTGCTGTCCAGGACATGGTTGCTGCTGACCACCCGACCGGGCCTCGGTAAAGCAAGGTGATCAGGTAGCTGCAGTGACTATTCCGGTAGCCTAGGGACTTTCTAAAGCTACGGACAACGACCTTGACGTCGCAGGGGAGGATATTGAAAGGGTTGTGATGAAAGAACAAAATTTGAAAGTAAATGATGTGGTTATCAAATGTGAAGTAATAAACAGTAAGACACTCAAGTTGGTTGTCAAACCGTTTAGATTTGTGCGTGCGAGTGTGATTAGAGTGGATACTTCTCTTCGATTTACGGATGATTTGGATAAAAAGGGACTTACCTTCACTGCCAAATGTCTCGAGGGGATGCCGGGAGTTGCTAAAAAGAGAGGGGAAGTTTGCTTTGACTCAAAGTTTACTACTCCTTTCCGAGCTTTCTTTGGAGGTTAAATTAGGGATACCTAATATTTTGTTGAGATAGTTTGATTTTGTTTTGAACCTTTTTTGTGAAATGGGGACTGTCCCATTATTTTGGTGCATTACAAATAGGTTAGTTTATTCTAGCTTAGATAGTCATTTTGATTTGGATTTGATGCATTGTAAAATGCTATTTTTTTCGATTTATAATATACTTACATGTTATCGAAAAAAAATAAAAGTCATGTTAGTAATCAGGACACATTATTAAAATATTAATACACAATTACAATGCACAAATTAAAAAGTGAAGTTATAAAAGTTGTTTGGAAAAAGCAAATAAATAAAACAAAGCATAACTGCATTAGTCTTGGACATTAAATAACACGGAGTATGCTATATTTGCAATTTTGCACTTAAAAAAAAACAAAGCAAAAGAATTGAAGGTTAAAGAACAAGAAAGAAAACAGAAATAGAAAATATGCCAAGCGCAACTCAAGATCGATGAGAGCATAACTGCATAAGTCAGCGGATCGAAAGTAGGAGGTGGTCTGGCGCACTATAGTGGAAAACACCTGGCAGCAGAGTATTAGATTGAGTTGAAGAATTTACGATGCAAGAGGAGTGACTTTGTAAAATATTACAAAAAAACCGGGTGTACACGTACACCCGGGTGTAGGATATACGAAGTCCCTCGTTCCTAAATGTAGGGAGTGTTTGCGATTGCTTCAACTTTAAAAAAGTAATTTTTTAAAGTGATTTTGGGAAAAGTGATTAATAGTAAAAGTTGGTAGTGTTTGAGAAAAAAGTGATTCTGAAAAAGTAAAAGTTGGTAGTGTTTGGTAAAATAAGTACTTTTTGTGTAATAGAAAAAGTGAGAAGCAGTTTAAAGCACCCTTCTACCTGCTTCCAGCTTTTAGCTTTTAAGTGATTAATTTAAGCAGAAGCTGTCATTTAAAAACACTCTTTTCAACTTTTTTTAAGCCAAAAGCTGAAAAGCGCTTTTTTTAAGCAAACCCCAGACACTCTTGTAATCTCGTCAATACTTCAAGTGAAGAAGAGTATAAACACGATTTCTTTAATCATTACCGTTCCCCATCGATACCTTCCATTCAACTGCCCACGGCCCCACCTTAGCAAGTCAACATCACACTATAGTCCAAACAATGTTCTTTCTTGCCCATCTCCCTGTTTTCTACTGTATTATTGCTCTGTTCTCATCACTACCGTGCAGTTTTTCATTGAATACAATCATCACAGATCTCACTGCCACCTAACCCGTCACCTCTTCCCTTGCATGTCTTCCTTTTCCGATCGAGATGACGGCAGCCAACATTTCACCGGCTCTGTTTCTGGCTCCGACCTCAAATCACGGAAACCATGCCTTTCAGGATCTCTTGTCTCACCGCGGATTCATCAGAATGAACCTGCAGCTTAACTGTTCGTCTTCCAGAACTCGGAAGCTCCGAGTCCTCTGCGAGTCGAAGGTGATCAATCTTCTTTAATCTTGAGTAGTTCTTGTGACATCTGATGATTGCCATTTTGAGATAATGTAGTCATTATAGTTGGCTATTCTTTTAGTTTGATAGGTTGGGTGGTGTTGTTTAGTCCATTTACACCTTATGAAATGATAGTTTTGTTGTTTTTCTTGCTGCAAAGAAGTCTCCTCCTATCATTGTTACATGGAGATCATCATCATTACCCCGATTTCGAGTTAAGGGGGCAGAATTTTTTTATTAGTGTAGGGAGTGAAAAAATTTCGCTAGTAAGCAGAACAGGAAAAAAATCGCTAGGGTAGCGGGGCGAATTTTTTCGCTATTGTAGGGCTCTGTGGCTAATTTTTATTTAAAAAGTTCCATTAGTACATACTACATACACGATGACAATTAAATCTATTATATTCTAATTCTAATTTTAGTCAATGAAAAGATAACTTTGATTTAATAACTATAAGTGCTCCAGAAAAAATATTGTTACATTAAAGCTTAAGAAATGACAAATTAAAGGAAAATTATTTGAAAATAAGAAAGGATATGATATACGTAGTATAACATTTTGTGATATTATTTGAAGGTAAAGTGGTTAAAGTTAAAGGTACACATCAACCAATGCTTTTTAAGTAACTTATGTCTTGTTTAACCACATGAATCTTAACAGGATAAAGAATTGGTTTTTTGATTGAGATTTTGTCTACCAAGAAGGGTATTTGTGGGTCATGATGAGTTTTCTTAATATTACAATAGTATGTATGAGATTATTATACTTAGAATAATATGATACGTAGTAATGTTAATTCATATATATATGATGCATATTATATTTGTATTAATGATAAAATAAGTTAAAGTATTATCTATTCAACAAATTGTTTTTAGAAAGTAAGAGGTAAATGAAATGTGTAATTTAATGTCAACAAACATTTATACTATTTAACTATTGTATCTGATATTCAATATCTTTTGATATCTTACAAAATCAATTACTAATTATCTATTAAAGATAATTAAACATTACAAAACTAAGATTTTTTTGGTACCCTAAGTCTTAAACAACGAGTTCTATTGTTTATTTGTTTAAGTTATGTAAATTATTTTAGATTATACTTCTTTTAAATCTCCAATTAAGCATTGCATTATGTGAGCCTATATATTAATTTTGAAAACTAAAAGTTAAGGGGGCGAAAACATATATACCTACTTAAAGTATGTAAATTTTATGAAAATATTATATATATACTCCCTCCGTCCCATAATTATCTTCATTCTTTCCTTTTTGGTCCGTCCCAAATTTATCTCCTCTTTCCCTTTTTAGCAAAGGATTTGTGGTTCACAACCATTCTTACACATTTCTCTCTCCTCTGCACAATTCTCCACCACACATTTCCCACTTTCTTAATCTTCGTGCCCAGTCAAAACCGAAGTTAATTCTGGGACGGAGGGAGTAATAGAAAATTTGGAAGTCCAAGGGGGGCGGTCGCCCCGCCCCCCCTTTGATCCGTCCCTGGCCGCAAAGGCTCCCACCTTTGCGGTGGGGTAAGGGGGTTGGATGTATGCTTCAAATTTAATACTCCAATTTACTCTAGCTTTAGTCCCATGTGGATGATTGAACGGCTGGAGTGGGTTGAAGCTGAAAAAAAATTAGTTGAACTGAAAAGTTTATATTTTTAGAGTTTCAATCCACCTGTATATGGCAGATTTATATCACAATTATCTTTGGGTAGTTTATTCTGAAACTCTAGTCATCTACTGTTCTCAGCTTTTCTGCTTCAGCAACCCACCCTATATCCAGCTTCCGACAATAATCTCCAGTCCCGTCATTAACCCCTAATCCTGACATTAACCTCTGGTTCGGTTCGCCAAACATAGCTGTTTTCTCAACATATATTATGAAGCATACAGCTTCAGACCACTCTTTTTATGCCTTTGTTTTTATTCTAACATGTACATTTGGAATGAAAACTTCCTATGTGAATGTAATATTATTTGATTCAATTGAGTTACTGCTTTGGCCTATTAGCTTCAGACCACTCTTTTTATCCCATTTTATTCATTTTGTCCTTTTTAAGTTGAAGGAAGTGCAAATTAGGAAGTGCTCACCTATTTTGGAGAGCATATATTTGTCAGGGAATGTATCATTGCCATCTTCTGAATACAAAACAGTTCCCGATATATGGAGGATGGCAGCAGAGAAGTTTGGCAGCCGCATAGCATTAGTGGACCCATATCATAACCCCCCAACAAATTTGAGCTACAAGCAGGTTAGCTTTTTACCATGGATATAGTTGTATAATTCTTTGTTGATAACTTTCTGAACATGCGAATCTAAGATGGTAAGGTACAAGCCATACATCATGGATCCCACATAGTTTTATTTTAACTTTACTTGTCAGCTTAACAAATTTATCATATACGACTTGTTTTGCACCCTTTTGGTAAAGTAAGTAAAAGATTGGCTTCATTGATCAAACAGGACTCTTTTCCTTGTAGAAAAAGTTGTCTGGAGCAAGATATATTTTTAGACTGAGTGAGTAACTTTTTCATAACATATAAACAGTACTGCCTCCGTCCCAAAATAAAGTTACCTCTTTCTTTTTGGGGACAATTCCAAAATAAAAGCTATGTTTCATTTTTTGGCAAATAGTCTTGCATACATTTCATACTTTACTCTTATTTTTTACTTTAACTTACAACTTTAGCATTCCAACTTTACTCAATTTTTTGGTGCTCATTGAAAGGGGAGGGTATAGAACACTAAATCCATCAGTTATTATATTCATATTAACGTAGATTGCAGTTACAACCCTTATAGAATACGTAGTATTATAATATCTATTAACCTAATGCAAAATCAGTCAAGCAATTCAGTCTGATTTTTTTCTCTTTCCTAAAGTACTATAGAGGGTGGTTTAGCTGTTTCATCCCACTTTTTTAATCTATCTGCCAAAAGGTTTGTAACTTTTATTTTGGGACGTAAGGAGTATAACAGTTTGTTATATCCTTCCAACTTCTAAAGTTTCTAAACGTTTTTGTAATGTTACCAATTCATAAACTTATTGCTTCTTTAATTGATGAATTATCGACACGCAATGGAACTATATTACAGTGAAATATGCCCCATTTGGGCGTAAGGAATAATTCATTATTAATGAAATGAAAATGGCAACAGACTGTAAGGAATAATTCATTATTAATGATCGTTTTTTGGTTTACATGTTTGCATTAGGCTATAAATAAAAAACCCTCATTTGAGAATAGGGGAGACTCAGCTGAAAACATCATATCAAGTTTCATGTCATAAAAAAAGAGTCAAGTCTCTACCTGGGTGTTGATTGATTCTCAATACACTTTTTGCCCAATGCAGCTTGAGAAGGAAATTCTGAGCTTTGCCGAAGGCCTTAGAGCTGTTGGGTTAAAACCAGATGAAAAGATTGCGCTTTTTGCAGATAATTCATGCCGATGGCTAGTTGCAGATCAAGGTACTCTCTCTTTTATCTCCAACTTCTGAAATATTGATTGTGATGTGGGGAGATAACACATGACTCAATTGTTAAAATTCTTACTCCACACTCTCAATTCATGTTATTATCAGTCTTCTCGAACTTCTTTTTAGATCTTCAGTGTTCCAACTCTTTACTACTCCATATTGGAGCACACATCCGTAGATGACAAACATACCCAAAACAACAAAGTTCGTTCTTCCTTACCATATCTTTAATAGCTGTTAATCTCATCATTGCACATATCTCCTTCATTTCCAACTCTAAAATGTGCATCTCAGCTACACACATCTTCATAATATACCATTTCTTAACAGCCTAGCCTAGGGGCTTATCTCTTGTGTCCATATAATAAGGCTTGTCAAATATAATTTTCCAATCATTCTTTGAGCAACATCATGAGCACACAATTCTGATGACTCAATATAGAATTAACTATAAAGGCTGCCAGGGAGGCTATAGGTTTGTAAACAAGAGCTGCTAGGGAGGATCTATGGCTGAAAAGGACAAATATACTCAAATGTTTGCTAAACCACCATGACACCATGGGTATAGGTCTTCTAGGTGGAAGCTATAAAGATGAAAAAGACAAATCTTCTCAAACATTTATAAAACCAGTACACCACTGTATCCCATAGATTATAGCTGGTGTACTCTTATGTAGGTTTGATATTTAATAATATAAACAATAAATGTGAAGTCCAACTATAAGCTGGCTTTTAGATAAGACTGTTCATATCCTTCTCAGACCCTACTTCCAAGTGGGACATAACGATATGTGTGATGTTGTTAGGCACTGGTAATTCAACAAGCAAAAGCAGTAAACAAGCTCACAGATCTAAGCACAAATGTAGATAACTGAAGTTTATTCATATGGGGGATAATCCGTAGGTAACAACAAGGCAACCGGGACAGGGACTTCTTAGGCAACAAAGGCAACACTTGATCAGAATAATCGTCTGCCTATTAAGCTACACCCCTTCCTATTTATAGCATTAAGTCCACACAGGGACTAAAATAGCTCAAGTAATTACTAAATTGACCCCCAGCCCCTTTATTTCTCCTTTCAAATACCCTAATAAAATACTAACTAGGCAGATTCCTAACATTACTCCTCCCCTAAATAACCACCTTGCCCTCAAGGTGGGTAATAAGACACAGCCTTGATCGAACTTCCTCTTCATCCTGGAACCTCTTCCTTCCCAGTACCTCTTTGGTTTCTGATCTTTTAGCTTTTGTGCATGGATCTTCATCATTACTTCCTTCACCTCTGGACTCCCACATAGGGCATCAACATCTCCAGCTATGTCATTCTGCTCAGCCCATTTTTCCATTGCTGGTTGGTTTGGTTCCGTAACTACTGATAGAATTTTATCCAAGCTACTCCCCAGGTCTGCCTCCATAACCACAATGATGATGTCCAGTGAAAGAATGTCATCTTCTGCCGCATTTTTGGAAGGATTTGTCTTGTACAACTTCAACAGCCCACATAAATTGTGCATAACAGTGCTGCCATGCGAGTACAGATTCTCTAACTGCCAAAGTCCCAAATCTGAGAAGTTTTCTTCTTTCCTTTCCCTTATAAGCTGAAACCCCAACGATGGAGTTAACAGATAAGCAAAACCAAGTCCAGAACCCTTGCTTTCATAGCATTCGGGAAAGGTTAATTCAACTCCCTTTGGTTCCCCAGGCTCTACTGGTCCAGACAAGATACTCTCGGGGCTGCCTTTCATCCCTTCTTTTCTTACCAGAGTGTAAATAAGTTCTATGCAATTTTCAACATCATCAATAGTCAAATTCAAAATGTAACTAGAACTGATTTTATCTATGACACCACCAGTCTTTACTTGAGACCATTCACCTGAATATTCACCCATCTCCCTGCCAGTATAAGAAGCCTTGAAACCAACACATTACCCTTCAGTCAAAGATACATCATATTCGAGGAAAAGGCAAGTTGGTAGCCCCGGAAAGATAGGTCCAACTTGCTCTGAAAGAACAAGAGCACCCCAGGCCCAATCACAACAAAAAGGTTCACCAAATACATATATGAAATAGCCAACCTCAGCCAATGAAAGTAAATAGGAAGAATCTGAAGGGATATGGAGGTTGACTACCTTCTTTTGCTCTTGTCTATGACCTCTTTCTTCAGCCTCATTTGAGTTATGGACTGATTGAATAGAAATCTGCCCATCAATACGAACATAGCTTCTTCTTTTCTCAGAAATTAACTGTAAACTGCTGCACTCTATCAAGTATCTTAGGATAGAATATGCTTCCTACCACATCTGCACAGCTTCCTAAAGCAGTCTCACCACTCTCCAATTGCTTTTCATATTTCAGGCTACTGAGATATATTTTCCCTTCACCATCTCTTGTACTCGGAAGTAATATCATATAAGGGCTATTTACATCAATGAACTCTTGAATCTGTCTCCTCCTTTCATCCAATTTGGCTTGGTCATCACTGTCAATTACAAATTCTGTATTCCCTCTCCTATCCAATCCAGAATCACTTTGAGTTCTATCCACGAGTGCTGCAGATGTAATCGGGTCTCCAATATGTGAAGCTGAATCTCCCGTACCCAGAGATATTTCAGGAACCACTTGGTTCTCCAATTCAGAAATATTTGAAACAACAATTTTCTCATCAGCAGATTCATATTCCTTCATAATTGAGGATTGAGTCACCACATCAGATTTATCCTCTCGTCCCTCATCCTCATCCATGAGCGTATCCTCAGAGAGAGGTTGCAATAGCCTTCCAGACTCCTGCAACTCAGACAACAAGGATGAACTGGAAGCTCCTCCTTCTGATTGTGTTGTACCTTGAAGTGAGCTACTGGTATATGATGAAGCCTGCGAACCTGGAGATGACACTTGCAAACTGAAATCTGATACCTGTGGACTCAGAAAACTGTTTCGCATTTGTGAATTGGAGACTTCCTTTTGCAACGCAGTATACGAACTGAGATGAGCAGTTCGCATCTGTGAAGAAGGAGAAACGATAAACGATGCTGGCTGAGATTTCGAAGAAGTTCGCGATTGTGAACTGGGAGAATTCCTTGACAATCGCGTATAGTGGTATACTGATTCCCTGTGTTCAGAATGCGTGTAGGCTGGAAATGCCTAGTTATGGATTCCTTCAGAGCCTGGTAATAATGTTAGGAATCTGCCTAGTTATGGATTCCTTCAAAGCCTTCCAACTATCTTCCCTCGTCTGAAATTGCCACCATTGAAACCAGTCAAACACCTCTTCCTCCATAGCCTCTTCTGCTATTTCAACTTTCCTTTCCTCCGCGGTAGATTTGAGTCTGAAGTATTCTTCCATCTTAACTATCCATTTGTCTACTTTATCTCCGTTAAACAAAGGTAGTTCAACCTTTATTCCCGTACGAGCATGTCTTCTCCTCTTATCGCCCTCCACCCTAGAACTTGAATGATCGGTTTTTTTTTAAGTTGCGTCGAGTTCATTTTGTCAGAAGAGCGTGGCCGAGGACTCGCCAAATCTGGATGATGCGATGCGGCTGATTGCGAACTGCGTGAGGCGGTTTGCGACCAAATCTGCGCACTCTGATGCTGGGCTTGCGATTGCGATCCAGGGAAACTGGTTTGCGGTGTCGATCGGTGGTGAGAGGGAACCTGCGCATTTGGCAATAAACTGGGGTACGCAGAAAGCCAGTTTTGAGATTCGCGATCTCTGCGAAGGTCTTCCTTCATCGCTGCTATAGAGGCTTCGATGTTGCTTTGAATCTGTTCCTTCATCGTTGTCTCGAAGTTTGTCATCATCGCCCTCATCTCCTGTTTCCACGCCTCCATGCGCTGTTCCAGTTCCGACCGTCGCGGTTCTCTGCTCTGCTCAGCGACCAACTTCGTTCGTTCGTATCTCAGCATCGCCAATCAATTTTCCTCTTCAACGATAGAGATGTGCCGATCGATTAAGTCTCCAGGAGCGAGTGCTCTGATACCAATGTTAGGCACTGGTAATTCAACAAGCAAAAGCAGTAAACAAGCTCACAGATCTAAGCACAAATGTAGATAACTGAAGTTTATTCATATGGGGGATAATCCGTAGGTAACAACAAGGCAACCGGGACAGGGACTTCTTAGGCAACAAAGGCAACACTTGATCAGAATAATCGTCTGCCTATTAAGCTACACCCCTTCCTATTTATAGCATTAAGTCCACGCAGGGACTAAAATAGCTAAAGTAATTACTAAATTGACCCCCAGCCCCTTTATTTCTCCTTTCAAATACCCTAATAAAATACTAACTAGGCAGATTCCTAACAGATGTCCTATTATAAGATTAATCTTTTGGATAAGACTGATCACATCCTTCTATAAACTAAAGCTATTGATTCTGAAACATGTTTATTTTGAAAAAATTAATTGCAAATAAAATCTTTTAGGTATAATGTCTACTGGCGCAATCAATGTGGTGAGGGGTTCGAGGTCATCAGTTGATGAGCTTTTGCATATATACAACCATTCTGAAAGGTTAGTCCAGATGTTCTTCAAGAGAGGTGCTTCTTCTAACTACGGAGTATCGATTTCTCACTTTTTTAATGTATCCATGGCTTATATATCTGGTATTTGCACTTTTACCTCATGGAGAGCATATAACTTGCTTCAAGTATTCCCCTCTCTTTTCTCCTAATTTCTTGCTGCATTTCTATATGTTCTTCATTGCAATGACAAAAGCTGGTGTGAGATCTCACTGTCGAAGATTCCCCTTCTTTCTGCCACAAACTTTGTTGTGTCTTTTATTTATTCATTGCAAGGACAAAATATGATGGCTTATATTTGTATTTTCATTAAATAAATTATACAAAGTACTATCTTTCATTATTCTATTTGAATATGGTAGATAAATCTTGTATCGATTAGGTCTTAGAGGAGATTGGGGCTGTTTGATAGGAGGATTTAATCCCGTATTGGAAATTATTACCACTAGCCATTACTACATAGCCAATTAGCCATTACCACAAGTGTTTACATCTTCCACATTAGGATTTAGCTTGGAGTCAAATTGAATCCCAGTGTATTATTATGATCTCTGGATGGATGCAGCGTTATAGAATTCCTTATTACTTGTCATTAAATCCTCTTCAATGTGTATATTCATATCAAATATCATTCTTGGAAAAATCCGATTCAGATTATTGAACTCCTGGTTTAATACCAAACCAGTAGCTCATGTAAAACACATACCAATTACTCAATCTATGATATGCTTTTTGACTCTGTTTCCCATTTTAGAACCAATGAGGCAAAGACCCAAGATTATTGTGATGTTTAGTTTTAGCTTTTCTAATAATAGGTGGGTTGCTGTATTTTTATATAGACACTGGATGAGATATTACTCTCAACGTTCCTGTCTTGATATCCTCTTTTTCATTCTTTCATGTTTTAAAGGGAAGCTTTTGTCTTTACTCTTAATAAAAAGACTAGTGTTTGAATACTGTTTTTAGACAGTACTGATTGTATATTTGTATATCTCAGCATTTATTTTTGGAACCAGACAATTTGCTTAGATTGATCCGTTCTTTCTTGTACGATTAACCTATCACATCTCCGTATTTTGGGTCTTTGTAAGCTCATCAATGTAAAACTTGTCATTCAGAAGAAGCATATACTTAATTATTACAATGAATGTAATTGTTACTGCAATCTCTCTCTTTCTTGTGTGTTCATCCTTTCCACAACAATTTAATATCTTTTATATATCCTTACAAAGGGAACATACTATAAATTACTTGCTACTATAATTGCAGTGTCGCCCTTGTTGTCGACAGTCCAGAAATGTACAGCCAAATTGCAGAAACTTTCCACACTCATGTAGATGTAAGATTCGTCATCATCCTTTGGGGAGAAAAGTCAAGTATCACACATGAAGTATTAGATGGACTCCCCATGTATACTTATACAGAGATCTTAGATTTGGGAAATGAGAGTCATATGGTGTTGCTTCACTCACAAGAAGCTGGTAAGTGGTTTTAATCCAGACAGAATGACAGATTATTAATAAAGCTTATTGTTTTTATTAAGAATTTGAGTAAGCCCAAAAGATCATTTTCAACTGTGTATTACTCATAGTAGACATTCTTTTACCATTTGATGCATCATATATAGAAGAAACTGTATGCTGTTGTGGATGCTTAATTCAATGTGCCTCCTCTCTAGTAGCTTATTCTTTGGACTGATTTAGAGAAGTAAACATAGTCTCATGACAAGTAGTTTTTTGAACTGTTAAATACAGTAAATAAATAAGTAATTATGTCCATCTACAATAGTTTGAGCTTTAGTTGTAGTCATCTAGTGGATAACACTTCACACTTTCTCTAGCATCCACACTAAATATGCCAGGAGAATGAAACTCCATCAGGTGTATGCTAGGCAGGTATCTCATTGACTAATTTCACTTGGTAAAACAATATGTATAAAGAACAACGGTGCATGTAACATTGTAACCAACGTCACAAAAGTTTCACTTATATTGAATAGGTAATGCTAGAGTATAATTAAGTTATAAGCTTAATTTTAAGTCTAAGTACTTTAACATCATAGACAATTTTATGTCCCTTTCAGATCCCTTGATCAGAATGAATCATATATGTGTGGACACTGTGATAGAAAGACTGAAATATCACTGATAAATTAATACACTCGCAGGGCATCAATACACATATGAACCAATCAAATCCGATGATGTCGCTACACTTGTTTATACTAGTGGAACTACGGGGAATCCAAAAGGTGTTATGCTTACACATAACAATCTGCTTCACCAGGTTTCTGCCTTTTCATTTTATCTTTATTATTATTATGGTAACATGACCAACTCTATTGACTTGTATAGAAATGGAAACCTGAAAAAGCAACAATATTAATCATCATAATGAGAACCTTGATCCCAACTGGTTGGGGTCAGTGGCATTAAATTTACAAGATATCTGTCCTATACACCTGGTGCAAAGGATAAGATGCATTTATTATCTTTTTAGTTTCCATAATTCTCTTAAAATATAAATTTTTGAAATAATATTTCCATGCATGTTGTACCATGACTGTTTAATTCTTCATATAAAGAAATTACTAAGCACATCCTATCGAGTCCACAGATACACATGCTAGCCAAGCATTATATTTAGTGTTGTTTTATTGTATAAAATTTGTTTCACCATAACTTCCTATAAGAAAGCACAGAAGCAAGTTTAAGGCGGATGCCCATTCTGTCTATCTAAACCTTTATAAGAAGGAATGAAACAACAATAATAAAAATGATATCATATAAGAAGTTATTTTCATCTAGATACTGAAAAGGGATTCTCATTTTACGTTTGCCAAACATAGGATATGGTGTTTATGGATATTGCCATGTCGGTGATAATTGATTATAGCATTTGCGCATAGAGCTACAACGTTGTAAACTTGTAATTCAAGTTTTGTAGGTTTTGGGAATTGATTTCATTAATTGAATATGCCAATCGGCCAGAGTATTTATACAGATATACAAGTAACTAATCAGCTAGTGTAGATCCTAAAAAATAGGATCTTGATAACTACAAGCTTATCTCTTAATAACAACTTCTATTCTAATCTATTCGGCTAAGTATGTACACCAAATTAAATCATGTAACATTTTCTACAATAATGTAACATTTTCTACACTCCCCCTCAAGTTGGTGAATATATATCATACATTCCCAACTTGTTTATAAGCAGTTCGAACACAGGTTTAAATAATCCTTTGGTGAAGATATCAGCTGTTTGATCTTTAGTAGATACAAATGGTGTGCAAACAATTCCAGCTTCTATCTTCTCCTTAATGAAATGTCTGTCCACTTCAATGTGTTTAGTTCGATCATGTAGCACAGGATTATGAGCAATGCTTATAGCTGCTTTATTATCACAGTACAACTTCATAGGCAGTTCCATCTTCAGTTCTGTGATTACTCTCTTGATCCAGAGCAATTCACATATTCCATTTGCCATAGATCTGAATTCTGATTCTGCACTACTTCTAGCAACCACATTTTGTTTCTTACTTCTCCAAGTTACTAAATTGCCCCATACATAGGTACAATATCCAGAAGTAGACCTCCTATCAGATATTGAGCCAGCATAATCTGCATCAGTATAGGCCTCAATTGTCCTACTGTTTCCTTTTTTGAAGAACAATCCTTTCCCTGGGCAGCTCTTCAGGTACCTTAGAATCCTGTAAGTAGCATCAAGATGTTCCTGGAAAGGATTATGCATAAACTGGCTCACCATACTTACTGCAAATGCAATATCTGGCCTTGTATGTGCCAGATATATTAATCTTCCCACCAATCTTTGATATTGGTGAATGTCAACTGGAATTCCCTCCTTGATATCTCCCAACTTCTGACCTGGATCAATTGGAGTGTCTGCTGGTTTGCATGCACTCATCCCAGTTTCCTGCAGAAGATCTAAGATATATTTTCTTTGTGAGACAACAATACCCTTTCTTGATCTAGCTATCTCCATTCCCAGAAAGTATTTTAAATCTCCTAGGTCTTTGACTTCAAATTCCTGAGCAAGCTTTTCTTTTAAGTTCTTAGTCTCTGTATGATAATTTCCTGTGAGGATAATATCATCTACATAGACAATTAGTATTGCAATCTCCCCCTTGCCTGAAAACTTCATGAATAATGTATGATCAGCTTGAGCCGGATTAAACCCTTGCTTCTTTATAAATTTTGTGAACCTATCAAACCAGGCTCTTGGAGACTGTTTAAGCCCATACAGAGCTTTCTCTAATTTGCATACCTTTGAACCAATTTTGTTCTCAAATCCAGGAGGAGGTTTCATATACACTTCTTCTTCAAGTTTCCCATTTAAGAAAGCATTCTTTACATCCAATTGTTGCAGTGGCCAGTCTAAATTAGCAGCAAGAGATAATAGAATTCTTACAGTGTTCAACTTTGCAACTGGTGCAAAGGTTTCTGTGTAGTCAATGCCATAGGTCTGTGTGTACCCCTTAGCAACTAACCTTGCCTTATATCTCTCCAGACTTCCATCTGCTTTAAACTTAGGAGTAAAAATCCACCTACAACCAACTGTTGGTTTGTTTTTAGGCAACTCTACAAGCTTCCATGTCTGATTCTTTTCAAGAGCCTCCATCTCCTCCAAAACAGCTTTCTTCCACTCAGGTTTAGATAGAGCATCCTGTATAGTTGAAGGAATAGAGATAGAGGAAACACTGGAAGTAAATGTTGCAAAAACTGAGGACAATTTAGAATAAGAAACATGGTTTGAGATAGGGTATTTAACACATGTTCTTCTTTCTTTTCTGAGGGCAATTGGAAGATCAAGATGACTAGAAGTATTACCTTTTTCACTCCCTGTCATTGAGTCAGAATCATGCACAGAAGTAGGTTCAGGAACTTCCTCTATCCTTTGATTTGGAATTCTTCTCTCATAAACTTTGCCAAAGAATTTACTTGTCTGTTGATCTCCTTTTTCAATTGGTTCAGTTGTATTTATTTCATTATTTGTTAATTCTTGACTATTTTCATATGCACCTATATTTTTAAAGGAATGAACATCTAGATCAATGTCAAAAAAATTAAGGTTTTCATGGATATATGGCACTGTTTGATCATCTTCACTCAAATTCTCCCCCTGAAGATGATTATCAAAGAAAGGTTGATCTTCCACAAAAAAAGTGTCCATTGTAACAAACATTTTTTGTGTTTTAGGATCAAAACATTTATACCCTTTTTTAGTGGAAGAAATCCCTAGGAAAACACATTTTGTGCCTCTAGGATCAAACTTACTTGCAGATTTATCTGGGTTTTTAATAAACACTGTGCAACCAAATATTTTCAAGGGAAGAGTACCAATAAATCTGTTTGTAGGAAAACAGTTTTGTAGTGTGTTGATAGGACTTTTAAATCCCAGAATTTTTGATGGCATTCGATTAATCAAATAGGTAGCATGTAACACAGCCTCTCCCCACAAATATTTTGGTATGTTTGTTGAAAACATGATTGCACGAGTGACTTCAAGTAAATGTCTATTTTTTCTTTCTGCAATTCCATTCTGAGCTGGTGTATTGATACAAGAGCTTTGATGAATTATTCCTTTTTCAGCAAAAAAACTGTTTAGGGTTTGAGAAAAATATTCACGGCCATTATCACTTCTTACCATTTTAATCTTGGTATTGAATTGAGTTTGGACCATTGCATAAAAATCCCTAAACACTTTTTCCACTTCAGATTTTTCTTTGATTAAAAATACCCATGTGACCCGTGTATGATCATCTATGATAGTCACAAACCATCTCTTTCCTTTTATAGTAGGTACTCTAGATGCACCCCAAATATCACTATGGACCAAAGTAAAAGGACTAGTAGGTTTATAACTGTGGGGAATATAAGAATTTTTATGATGTTTTGCAAGTGCACACATATCACAATGAAACAAAGACACATCTTTATTAATAAATAACTGAGGAAACACCTTTTTTAAATAATAAAAACTAGGATGTCCTAATCTGTAGTGAAGTAAATACAACTCTTTATTATTTGAAAAAGAAACAGTTTGCAGACAAGCATTTCTTTGACCTCTTTTATTTGATTGAGTTCCTTCATCAAAGATATAGAGTCCATCCTCTTCCCTAGCACTGCCAATCATCTTCCCCGATGCCAGGTCCTGAAAAATGCAATGAGAAGGATAAAAAATAACACAACATTGTAGGTCTTTTGTTAACTGACTAACAGAGGCAAGGTTGCAAGACAGATTAGGGACATGTAGGACTTTGGATAGATTAATAGATGAGGAAAGTTTAATATTTCCCATCCCTGCAATGGCTGATAGAGAGCCATCTGCCACTTTTACTTTTTTGTCCCTTGCACAGGGTTTATATGAAAAGAAAAGGTTTGAAATGGAGGTCATATGGTCAGTAGCACCTGAATCAATGACCCAGGTACTTTTAGATTTCCCAGAACAAAAAAATGATGAAGTGGTACCATTCTGGGCATAAGAACAAGAGGAAGATTCTGGTTTGGAATTTTTTTGAGTATGGAGAAGGTTAAGGAGTTGCTCTATCTGTTCCTTTGTGAAGGAAGGCTGCGTGAAGTTGACTTGTGGTTCTTGTTGAGTCTCAACCATAGTTGTATGTAGAGCCTTGTCAAACTTCTTCTTCCCTGCTCCTGGTGGCTTCCCATGTAATTTCCAGCAAGTGTCCCTAGTGTGCCATAGTTTCTTGCAGTGGTCACACCAGGGTTTTTTCTTTTCTTCACTTCTGGCCACCATTGCTGAAGAGTCTCCAGGGTCATCAGCCTGTGCTGGAGTATTGTACATGACTTTCTTCCTACTATCTTCTATCCTGATCTCAGAAAATACCTCCCTGATTGAAGGCAGAGGTTTTTTTCCAAGTATTCTTCCCTTAACTTCATCCAGGTCTCTATTAATTCCTGCTAGGAACATATAGACCCTATCATTTTCCTCCCTCTTCTTGTGTCTTGCCAGATCCTTGTCACTCTCCCACTCTTCAGCATCATAGCATTGGTCCAACTCTTGCCATAGGGATACCATCTCATTATAGTATGAGATGACATCTCTACTTCCTTGTTTGGACTGCCACAGCTTTGTTTTTAACTCATAAATCTGAGAAGAGTTCTCTAGATCTGAATAAGTTTCTTTAATGGAATCCCATACCTCTTTTGCAGTTTTCATGAACATGTGAGGTTTGGCGATTGATGCATCCATTGAACTGAGAAGCCAGGCTGTTACCAACGAGTTTTCTGACCTCCAGACACTGTAGCCATCATCTCTACTTTTCTTCTCCTCTATTTCACCCGTTATGTATCCCAGTTTTCCCCTTCCATCAATTGCCAGTTTGACAGACTGTGACCATTCTAGATAATTAGTTCCATTCAATCTATGTCCAGTAATGAGCATAGATGAATTAACCGAGGTCTGGTAGTTTGTCATTTGGCTAATTTGGGAGTGAGGATGATGGGTTTGTGAGTGAGGGGAAGAATCAGAGTGCTCGGTTTCCACCATTGTGGTGTTTAAACAGCCTGCTCTGATACCATGTAGGTTTTGGGAATTGATTTCATTAATTGAATATGCCAATCGGCCAGAGTATTTATACAGATATACAAGTAACTAATCAGCTAGTGTAGATCCTAAAAAATAGGATCTTGATAACTACAAGCTTATCTCTTAATAACAACTTCTATTCTAATCTATTCGGCTAAGTATGTACACCAAATTAAATCATGTAACATTTTCTACAATAATGTAACATTTTCTACAAGTTTCATTGATGTTCTTTTCAATGATATCGTCTGGAGTAAATAGGGATGGAGTTGCTAAGTTCAATAAAAGAAGGGAAGCAACATTAGTAAAGAAGAAGAATATATTGCTAGATCAGTATCCTACAAAATGGAAAAAGAAGCAAAAGTAGTGACAATCATTTCCCTGTGCAGCAGTAATCCGAGATTATATACCATTTATCATAGTTGTTAGAATCTCACATCATAAAACTAAAACAACAATGATGGCTTAAAGACCTTGGGTTGAAGTGTTGAGCTAGCTAATTAATTGAATTTTATCTTTTAGTGTGGTAGCCTAGTGTTTGAGGGCCTTCTATCAATAGTGATAGGAGCAGAAAACATAGAAGGAATAACGTGACAAGTAGATGATTTTTGGGACACAGACAATGGTACTTTGGTACACCAGCATCTTCAATGGTTTCCCTTCAAGGGGAGGTACTATCCACCATATCTGAAACCTCAGAATAATGTGCTTCACTGCTTGAGCTGAGCTACCCTATTAGAACTGAATGTTTGAGAAATAATTGAGCTCTGGATTTTTCTAATCTCTTCCAGAGTTGGTTTGTTAAGGCATGGGAAAACTTACAAACCAGGAGAAATATATCTATTATCACAAAAATCTTTAACATTAGTTGATGACACTACAGGAGTAGAATAACAGGCTCCCCCTCTGTAAAAAGAATTTAGGGTAAAGTTTGAATGAAGGACAAGCATTGGGGCAATAAATGGAGGGAGAAACTGTGCAAAGTAGCTATAAACTGGAGGCTAAAGAAGGAAGAAAAAATGCCCCTCCCGTCAAAAGTCTGGACTAGAGTATATGGACTGATTTCAGTGTCATAAAGATGGGGTATAGCCATGACCATATAACGTTTTTGTTTTTGTAACATCTAAGTTTAATGAGAATTAGAGGGTTCTGCATTTGGGTAGAATACTGGAGTAACCTCTTTTCATCAATTGAGTTTACAAGTCTTCACTGATTTTTTTAGTGAGATATTTCTTTTCAAAATATCCATCTAGCTTGTATTTTTAGCATTTTATGATATTTTCATTTCACTTTTACCAACTAGTATAGAATTGTTACTCTGTTCATGCAATATGAAGTAAGACTTTGTATGTGTTCCTTTTCTAGGTTTTGAATCTCTGGGATCCTGTACCTGTTCTGCCAGGGGATAGATTCCTGAGCATGCTTCCTCCTTGGCATGCATATGAACGTGCTGCTGAGTATTTCTTACTCTCTCTTGGATGTGAGCTAGTATACACTACGGTAAAAAACTTAAAGGTATGCGCTATTTATTTATTCAATGTTAAAGTACTAGATGCTGCAATCAATTTGCTATCCACTATTTGCAGTTGTAACTGTTCTTTTATAATAATAATAATACTCCGTACTAAAAAACATCACGCCAAACTTCTGATTCAGTTTACTCATATTTTAGGAAGATCTAAAACTTTATCAGCCACAGTACGTAATATCAGTTCCTTTGGTATATGAGACATTGTACAGGTAAATCATGTTGAATGTATGTTATATTCCACTTTTAGTACAAAGTGTCCTACATATTTACGGATTTACCATTTGCCAAGGATGGATTGTGCACTGATAGTATCAAAATAAACTAGTTGTGCTAAAGATTGGATTAATGTTGATTTGCAATAAATTTTCAGGACACTAATAAAATGTGAGAATTATAACTCACGTCAACCCAACTCTCCATCATAGTTATCCTTAGATTGTCTGGAAAAAACTATTACGATTTATGTATAATTTGCTTTCTTCATTTTTAAGATACAGTCTTTTGCACCTCGATATCATGCTCTGTTGGTTTTTAATTTTAGACTTTTCAATCTTGCAGTGGAGTTCTGAAGCAGATTAATAAAAGCAGCACTGCTCGTAATCTCATTGCCTTGTTATTTTTAAAGATCAGTTTGGCGTACAAGGAAGCCAAAAGGATATATGAGGTTAACCTTGCTCTTACATTTTAGAGGTGTTTGAATTTTGTAATCTATTTAGCACAAAAAGCTTAGAAAGTATTCAGGATACCAGGATACATATTCTAACAAATACTCCCTCCGTCCCGGTGGACTTTGCCAAGTGCAAAGTAGGTGAGAAATAAGAATAGTAAAAACGGTGTGGTTGAGATTTGTGTAAAGGAGAGAGAAATGTGCAGAACCACAAATTAGTTGCTTTAATAGGAAAGTGACAAAGTTATTTGGGACAACCAAAAAGGAAAAGTTGGCAAAGTCCAATGGGACGGAGGGAGTATTTAGCTACAGCCTACAGTTGAAGTGTTCGAGACTTCATATGTAAATAAGTTGCAAAATAATTTATGTGAATTATCCATGATTTAGTTTAATCTCTTGTTTCAGGGGAAATGCTTAACACAGGATCAGAAGCAGCCTTCTTATCTTGTTTCAGTTTTTGACTGGTTATGCGCCAGAGCCATTGCTGCTCTATTGTGGCCATTGCATTTGTTGGCAAGGAAATTAGTTTACAGTAAAATTCACTCAAATCTTAGTATGTCTAAGGTAATGTTATTTCACTCTGCAGAATTCGAGGTTAATGTCATTTATCTACTTCTACCCTTTGGTTCAAAAGAGGGATGACAAGGCAGTTGAAATGGGAGAGGGGAGCGGAGGGGAGGAAATGGTAGAGTTTTAAAAGATGAATGGGGGAGAAAACTAGGTTAGTTAGAGTCATGGGAGCAGTTAGAATAGTTTGATTGAAATAGTTGTGCCTAAAGCCGCAGTTATACTTATGCTATCATTGAAGAACATTAGAAGAATGAAATTAAGTGACGTTTCTGGATGAGAAGTCAAAATTACCAAGGCCCACTCCTAAAATCTGAGAAACATTGAAGCATGGTTGTCATGGCGTCGCCTAGGCGTCCTGGCAATGGGGCAGTCATGGCCCACGCCATGCTCGATCGACTCACCTGAAGTCGCCATTGCAGGCCAGGTCGCTGATGCAGGTCACTATCGCTGGACACCGGCGCTGGTTGCCATCGCTTTTCTCTGCAGATTGTGAGTTCTGCCGTTTGCTACTGATCATCCTTCTTCTGTATCTTTAGACCGAAGTACGACATGTTGGTCCCATTTTTTATCTCATAGTTTTTATGTGTAGGAACTACATATCTCCAAATTTATTTTAATTTCATTTTTTATATCGCTTTTAACCCACTTTTCATTCACTTTTGCTACTCAAATCCCGTGTAAAGACTAAAGTCCATGTGTGGACATTGCCATAGACATTGTCTACAATTTATTTCTATCTCTCTCCTCTTTTTCATTTTACCCTACACACCCCTATCTCTAATCTCTATATTTAATTAAAATTGTTATCCTATCTCTATCTCTCTCCTATACCACATGGACTTCACTACGATCCACTTCCCCACTGGAGATGTCCTCCAAGCTATTTTTTCTCTTTTTGTTTTTCTTTCTTTTTGTCAGTCAGTTGACTCCCGCTGGACGATTATACTACATCTTTCCATCCTTTGTTGTGTATTACACAATATATTCTATTTTCACAGTTGATTTTTAAAGACATGAAAAAATAATTACTTCATTTACATTGACTACTTTATATTACATTAAAATCAACTTAAATTTTCTTAATTTGCAGTTTCAATGGTCTTGATACTTATTTGAAATGGCTATTGAACTCTTGTGTTGAATTATTTAACTCTAGTTTGAATAAGTAATGTATAATATAATTTATAATACATCAATTCGTCATATTTAAATATTATATATGGTGTGACATGTCGCTTAGGCGATATGGTGATCAGCTGGCACCGCGCCTCGCCTTGCCGCTGTGACAATCATGCATTGAAGTTGAACTGGTCACAGTGATCTGCATTCACATTGCCATATAAGATCTGCAAAAGCCTAATTTGGATGTGAAAATTATCTTCTGTACATGAAACAAACAAAAAGAACAAGTAAGGAAGAACATCATAGAAGCCAACGTGCATCACTACACCACAAAGATGTATTTCACTAGTATAGTGATACATAAGTATGGAAAACATACCGGGATATTAGGAAACAGTCGCACACAGTGTAGGTTTGGGGAAAGTAAAGATCTATGCAACCTACACCCTTTTGAGAGAAGTCTATTATAGATTTATAGTGCATGAATCTATGACTCAAGTACTCAACCTGTAACACTCGATTACCATATTTAGTACCAATAATGAGTTGTACTGTACAAGATAATTGCGGATCTTTTGTTGACTGATGTAACTGCTCTTTTTCTGTCAGGCTGGAATAAGTGGAGGTGGTAGTCTATCCCCACACGTCGACAGGTTCTTTGAGGTTTGGTGCTTTATCTTTGTGGTTATATGATCCGTAGATTGATGCAATCACCTGATTTAAAAATGTGATTATGGTACAGGCAATTGACATGACAATACAGAATGGATATGGTTTAACAGAGTCATCTCCTGTTGTTGCATGTCGGCGTCCAAACTTGAATGTAGGTGCAGTATTTTTCCATTAAAAACTTATCAGTGTCTACTGTCTAGTAATTTATACTCGGGTAACTTATAGCTGAAGCTGTTTGTTGATTTTCCCTACGTAGTAGTTTTTACATTTTTCCATCATTTGCAATGGAGCCAAAGATTCATTATTTTTTGGCTTGAGAATATGATGGAATAAAGCAAAATGGCTCACTAAACTGTCTGCGCTTCTTTGGACGCGATTTTCACTATGGGTCATCCGGAAACAGTCTCTCTGTGCTTTAGTACAGAGGTTGACTGCGTACATCCGACCCCCCCCACCTTACCCCACCGTAGGTGGGAGCCTTTGCGGCACTGGGGTAAATGAAAATGATGAAATGATGAGTAGTTTTTACATTTTAGTGAGGGAGTGAAAATTAATTTATTCTCATGCTGGAATCATCTACCTAAAGTATGCTATCCATACTGCTACTTAATTTTATAAAGCATTTTAATTGTGATTAACTTTGCATGGCATAATTGGAAAAGATAAAGGACAATGTATGAATGAAGCACACAGCTTTAGTTATATGAGGATCTTGATATGATCTTCAGATAAAGTAATATTTTCTTAATATTATCTTAAAATAAAGCATTTTAGTTGAGCTTTTGTTTCCGGTAAAAGACCTTATGCGAGCAAACAAGGTTGAGAACTTCTTTACCTGTGAGTGTAGCTCTCTATCTAATAAGAAAGATATAATTTAATCTAGTTTTTTTAGTTGTGGGATAAAATAAATCGGATATTCCAAACTTTTACACCTTTTACACATGCGACCTTGCTTGTAGTTTGAAAAGTAACATGAATGTTAAACTTATCAGTTTGGTTTTCAAACTTGGCACATTTTGACAATTTGATGCTTCAACTTGCAAGTGAAGAATTGGAGTCTGAACTTTGCTAAAACTTAATAAAGTTGTATGTTTTCATATTGCATGTAATGAATATGCTATGGCGGTTACAGATTTAATTCGCACAGGTAATTGGTTCAATCGGGCATCCCATTCGGTACACAGAAATAAAAGTTGTGGATATTGAAACAGATGAAGTCCTCCCTCATGGTTCAAAAGGCATTGTCAAAGTCAAGGGACCACAAGTCATGAAGGGGTACTACAAGGTTAGACCAAATAACCAATCAACCCATGGAGTACTGATTTTTAAACACTTCCTAGTTCCTATTAGTCTCATATTTGCCACTATTTGCAACTTTAATTCCAAATCTTTGGCTTTATAATATTGAATTTTACAATTCCCCTGGCATGTTTAGTTTCTTTTGTATAGATCATTTGCTTCTATATTCGGAAAATAATATTTCTGTTTGATTTGTTTATTCAACATGAGCATTTCATTCATGTCAGAATTCTATGGCTACAAAGCAAGCTATAGATGAGAACGGATGGCTAAATACTGGCGATCTTGGTAGGATTGTTCCTCATCATTCTATCGGACGATCCCGTAATGCCTCGGGTGTTATTGTTCTCGAAGGTCGTGCCAAGGACACTATAGTCCTTTCATCAGGTGATCATACTCTTCTTACTCAGAGTTTAACTACGGTCAGGATGTTGTCTTTGAACCCCACCATTTTTCATTTCCATTACTTGAACATGGATCTTTTTTTCTATATTCATGAACATGCTGGTATGACCTTTGCTACTAGTAGGATAACAATTTTCTTATATTCTCTCTTTTAGTAGGAATACGGTTGTGCATGAATATCAATTGGCAAAATCCTGTCAAGTCAGAACTCTACTGACATAACATCCTACTCTTACAGTTCTTGTGCACAAACAAATGTTTCAAAAGGAACTTATATTTTTAGTTTGCCAATAACACATAATTCTGTTATTAAATCACGAAGTATTTGATCAATTTTGAATTGTGGACTGAATCAGTCGGAACTCAGAACTTTATGATGCAAATTATATTAATAGTAAAGCTGAATAACAAAATTCTTACTTAAGTTAGCACTTGAAGAAAGTGCTCTATAGTTTGGAACTAAGCATTTAAGTTTTAGTATATCATTAAAGTAATAATAAATTTTTACAAAGTAATTTGAATCCATCAACTATTCCACTAATGAGGAAGTCCAAAGTACCATCATAACTCACATACCTGGTTCTTCTCCATTTTTTGTATACAATCACATTACTATTTTGTTGTAATCCTGAAATGAATCAAATTGTTTCATATGTGCCCATGAATCACATGATTCCTCTCAGTTATTATTAAAAGCATGCGCTCTATCATCAGAATCCTGAATGGAGTTGTGTGACACTATCATGAATCACTTGATATACAACCTTGCAAAATTACCATTCCTACTTTTTTCTGGTATTTATGATCTATTCATTTCTTTCTAACCTTAAGGCCTTGGCTATCAGCATCCCTGCTACAAAGCATTTCCATGAAGTTTATGTAACAACCAATGTATATGTGCAATGGATAGGTGAAAACATTGAACCATCTGAGATTGAAGATGCTGCAATGGGTAGCAATTTAATTCGGAATATTGTTGTCATTGGCCAGGTATGTAATAGAATTTGGTACACAAAATTGTCTTTCTACAGCACTTTTTGACGTCTTCATAGTGAAAACACACCTTTTCTAATTTCTATTGCATCACATGTATTCCTTGACATCTGAACATAAAGGATAAACGCCGTCTTGGAGCTATTGTTGTACCACATAAGGAAGAGGTCCTTTCTGCTGCAAAAAGATTGTCTGTTGTGGATGCTGATGCCACTGAAGTTAGCAAGGAGAAAACAGCTAGCCTACTACATAAAGAACTAGTTAAATGGTCAGGATATTACCTTGTTTTTTAATTTGTTTAACTAATACCAACTATCCAAAAAAATCCCAACTTTAGATATTAGGTATTGATAGACGCACAATTTCAATCTATACTGAAAATAATTGAGCATATTCTCTGATGAAATTTTCAGCCGATGTGCAGACATATATAATTAATAATTCCTATTCCGGTTTGTTGACCAAAAACAATTGAGCATATTTTCAGATCTATTCTTACCTCTAATAATCATGACAGCACTAAGCCGGATTTCTTGCCCAATAATTGCTTGTTTTATTTTTGGTATATATTAAATTATTTTGGCTCAAATTTGTGATTTCTAAAGCGGATATTATTTTAGTCATTTTCCTTTTTTGTAAATCAAATTGGTTGTCATTTGTGTGGTTGCAACCATTGAAATAGTCATCGCACCTGATAGACATGCCGTGCTTGCTTGTTTCAACTAATCCAGGACGGCAGGTTGCATGTTTCAAGTTGGTCCTCTCCTTGTGATTGATGAGCCTTTTACGGTATGCAAAATTGCCTGTTGAGCCATGCATTTCACTATACAAAGATGTAGCAATTGCTTAGGCATTTTGCTTTCTGGCTGTGCAGGTTGATAATGGTTTGTTGACTCCAACAATGAAAGTTAAGAGAGACAAAGTAACAGATCTGTATAAAGAACAAATAGAAAATCTATATAATTGACTTCCCTAAACGTATTTCCAAGCGTTCCTCCAAAAACTGAGAATGATGTAATGTTGTTTTCAGTACTAGAAAATTTACTCATTTTTAGTCAGATGTAGTAATTAATACTACGTACTACGTATAATTGTATAGGCGTTTAACGATTCTAAGTGCCTATTGGTTCTGCATAATGGAGGTTAGCATCCTGTCCATCCATGATCCATCCCTATTAGGGAGTTGACTACATATATAAACCATTGAGGATCACTGAAGATAGGGGTAGAGAAGTGGTTGGACACAGTCCTACCAGTGGACTCCCGGTTCTGCTCCTCCATTTGATATGATTAGATCAGAACCTTAAATAGCATGGTCCCGACCTCAGCCATTGGGACTAGTAGTCATGGTTTCGATCGATACTACTAAAGGATCATAATTTATCTTATACTACTGTATTTTAATCCTAACACCTTGTTCTGGTTTTTCGTTTGACAAAACCAGACTAGGATCTTATGTAACATTATTACCGGGTTTGATCAAAACATGATTGATCAAAGCTGGAACTTTTTGAAAAAACTTTTGGTCTCGAACATCAATTATTTGTATTTGTTTTCTGCCTTGTTTCTTGTTCTTGGATAGTTGGATTGTTCAACTCAGTAGCCTTAAAGTGAACCTTTTTTTACTATAAAAATCTGGATTAAAGAGATTGATGAGCAATCATCAAATGGATGAAAAAATAACATAAAATCTTGTCTTTGGGATCCATCATCCAGATTCACCACCAGCACTTCTGAACCCCTTTTTACACAATAGTTTAAAAATAACTCCTTTTCGTCTTTGTCTAGGTCCATACGTTCCAATTTGTTTTACATACACGTAGGCCTGGACTCGGGCCGGGCGGCCCGACTTGGAACCGGCCCGGCCCGGCCACTGTAGCAACCGGCCCGGCCCGGTGGCCCGGTCCACCGGCGGTTCGGGTCGAACCGGCCTGGTGGTTCCTGGTTCCGGGCCCGGGCCTTCCATATGGTGAACCGGCCCGGCCGGTTCGGGCCCGGTCCGGGCCGGAAATAATTTTTTTTTTTTTTGAATTTTTTTTATGTTTTGGGTTAGATTAGGTATTTTGGTCCATTTGAGGTGGTTTGGGGTTGAGAAAGAGGGGTAGGGGATTAAATAAAGAAGCCAAAAACAAAAAAAAAAAAAAATAGGGCGGGTGGCCCGGCCCGGAACCGGCCCGGTCTGGCCCGGAACCGGCCCGGAACCGGCCACCCCCGGTTCGGGCTCGGGCCTCAATATTCTGAACCGAGGCCCGGCCGGGCCCAGGCCCGAGGCCCGAACCGGCCCGGTTCAGTCCACCCCTACATACACGGCGGCCTCCAGAACCCTCCTGTGCAAATAAATTTATTTGTTAAGTAGGTAATAAATAAAATATTTGAAGAATTTGTGAATGAAAGTTTGATGTCATAAATAAAAAATGTCTTGCTGATCTATTGTAGACACTAGTTGAGGGCACACGGGCATTGGTATGTGTGCGAAGTACTCGGACAGTCGGACTAGCTAGCAAACATGTACTCCCTCCGTCCCTAATAACTTTGCCAAGTTTGACCGGCACGAGGATTAATAAAGTAAAAACTGTGTGGTTGAAGTTTGTGCAGAGGAGAGAGAATTAACTGGAACCACAAATTCTTTACTTAAATGGGAAAGTGGCAAAGTTAATGGGACATCCAAAAAAGGAAAGTTGGCAAAGTTATAAGGGACGGAGGGAGTATCTGATAGGCTGATAGCCTTTAATTTTTCGTGTAGTTTTATGTGAAGAGTGCAACATGTTTTTTCTATTATTAGTACAATTACTGCTATTGTGATTATACATTTCTATTACTCTCTCTGTCTCATAAAATTCTTTACACTTTCTTTTTTGGAACGTTAAAAAAAATCTTTCTCATTTCCCTTTCATAAAGTTTTGTGGGGCTATAATTCATTACATTTTTCTTACTCAATCATAATCATACATTTTCACTTTATAAATGATTAATTATAAAAAAGGTTTTGAATCAAAATTGGCGGTCCCCGTTCCATTTTTTGGGAGAACTGAATTGGGATAGTAAACCCTCAATTTCAAAACGGAAGTAATATGTCGTTCCAGTTCAAAAACCAACGATTTTGATTCAAAACCCGGTGATTCAAATTCTGGTATAACTAGAACTATGGACATGTCTAATTGTGTGTGTGTGTGTGTTAGAGCATCTACAATGCTTGGGTGCATTGGTGCTTATGTGGCTAATAAATGGAGTAGGTCTAGACCCAATATGAGTAAGAAAAGTAAGGTGCATTTGAAGGATGCTCCAATGGAGAATGGAGAAAAGCAAATAAAAAATAAAGAGTTGATGAAAGAGAAAAAAGCTTTGTATATTGCTTGGATGTGTGTCAAAAGGTGGCACCGAGGGTCTCACACTCTCACTGTAGGCCCTTCTCTGGACCTTGTGCTTTGCCAAGTCAGAATTTGGGAGTCCATTCATATTACCATTGAAGAGTACATATAGGTATAGAAAGTGCATTTGCTCAGTTGGAATCCCAATTCACCCATTCATTAGAGATGCCCTTGTGAATTGCTGCTGAGATGACAAAGTAATAAGCATGGTGTATTCCAAATGTGGACCAAAAAATTAAGAAAAAACTAGGGTCTATTCAATTTGAACTATAATGCAAATAAGAAAGGAAAATTAAATAAAAAGTAAAAATGCAAATGAATGGCCGGAAAAACTGGAGGCCTACGGATGCCTTGTTGGCTTTGTCACACGGTGAGACCTTACGGTGAGACCCAAGGTCTCAATATGGACCTTCTCCCGGACATTGTTCCAAATTATAAAGTGTCAAGTCACCTAAAAATGGAACCACTTTATTTTGCATTGAAAAATAGACTTCCATTTTAACTTTACATTTGATGATATGGATGTGCAATGGACTTGTGCATTGGACAATTGGAAATGCCTTTATAAAACTGAAAGCACGTTCGCAACTCACAAGGTGAAAAGGTCATTTTTAATGTTTCACCCACCATTTGCTATAACTAACGTAGGTATTCAAGAGCGTCATAGTGGGTACATGACACCCGAGGGTGAGGAATTAGACATCGCCATACACTCGGCGAATGTATTCAATTTGCACTTGAAAATCTGCGTATAATATTTATTTTAAAGATGAAATATAGGCGTAAACAAAAGGGTAATGTACATAAATAATACGTAGTACTATTCTTTTTTTTTTTGAGGAACAATACGTAGTACTATTCTTACTTCATGTTATATTAGAAATACGATCCCATGGATCAACTCCTCATAGAAAAAAAAACGATAATCCTTGTGAATGGGTTTCATTATAAGAAAATCATAAAAATGATACTTTAGTTTTAATTATGAAATGCTTTACATTTTAATTCTAATTATGAATCTTTAATTTTATGAGAAAATATGTACGTAGTACAATTTAGTGTTTAAGGGGACCATGACAGTAATTAAAAGATCTTTTAATAACTTTATGATTTGTGCAGGTTTGCTATTAGGAAGAAAAAGATAAAAACGTAATAATGTTTCTTCTTGCTTCTTCATAAACCGAACAACCCCTTTTTAAATACAAGAAGATGCCAATCACCCCTCTCTGGACATCCGTAATACAGAGTATATATTAGGCTAAGGAATAGCTACCATAATTAAAATAATATACTAGCCATAAATAAATAAAACAATCTTAAACAATACTTCTCAAAAAATATCTCTCAATACCCCATCTCAAGTTGGCGCATGGGGATTTAAAATGCCTAACTTGCGTAGGAGAGTCTGAAACTGAGCTTTGCCAAGTGCTTTAGTAAAGATATCAGCGAGTTGAATGGTAGTAGGAACATAGTTGGGAGCAATTATATTGGCTTGAATAGCGTCGCGGACAAAATGACAGTCAACCTCAATGTGTTTGGTCTTTTCATGAAAGACAGGATTTTGAGCAATATGAAGGGCAAATTGACTATCACAGTACAATGGAATAGCCTGAGGATGCTGAACTCCAAGACTTAAAAGAAGTGCCTTTAGCCATTTTAATTCACAGGTTGCCGCCGCCATGGAGCGGTATTCAGCCTCAACAAAAGAACGAGCAACAGTTGATTGTTTCTTAGCTTTCCAGGAGATAGGTGAATGACCAAGAAAAACCAACCAACCAGAGAGTAATCTACGTGTAATGGGGCAAGCAGCCCAACCAGAATCACACCAGCCAATAAGAGAAAGGTCACTATCAGCACGAAGAAGAATCCCTTGGCCAAGGGACCCTTTGAGATACCGGACAACACGCAAGGCAGCGGACCAATGCTCGCTGAGAGGTTTGTGCATAAATTGAGAGAGAATGTGCACGAAGTATGTGATGTCCGGGCGAGTGACAGCCAAATAAATTAGGCGACCAACAAGACGACAATATGGTTCAGGGTCCAGGAGAGGTGGTCCAGTAGCCGTCCCAAGGGTGTGATGTTGTTCAATTGGAAAAGAGGCGGGTTTTGTCCCCAAAAACCAGTTTCGGTAATAATATCCAGGGCATATTTTCTTTGGTTAAGAAAAATACCAGTAGAGCTGCGGGCCACTTCAATACCCAAAAAATATTTCAGAAAGCCCAAATCCTTCATATGATAGCATGCATTAAGGTATGATTTAAAACTGCCCATAGCAGCACTATCATTTCCAGAGATAAGTAGACCATCCACATAAACAATGACATTAAGCTGGACGGCACCGCGAGTAAGAGTAAATAAAGAATAGTCAGCATATGACTGAAGAAAGCCATAATTCTTAAGAGCAGTGACCAATTTTGCGAACCAGCACCGCGGGGCCTGCTTAAGTCCATATAAGGATTTATGAAGTCTACAGACCAAGGTGGTGTCACGTGTTTTATAGCCCGGAGGAATAGTCATGTAGACTTCCTCATGTAAATCTCCGTGAAGAAAAGCATTGTGTACATCCATTTGATGTAACTCCCAATGCTTACAAGCTGCTATGGCACGAAAAGCTCGCACAGTCACCATTTTAGCAACCGGAGCAAAAGTTTCTGTATAATCGAGACCAGCAACCTGCCTATTCCCAAAAATAACAAGACGAGCTTTCAGCCGTTCAACAGTGCCATCAGATTTGTGCTTCACTTTATAAACCCAGCGACAACCCAAGGCACGTTTTCCAGGAGGTAAAGGAACAAGACTCCAAGTGGAGTTATTTTCAAGTGCCTGTATCTCGGCCTTCATAGCATCACGCCATCCATCATGTTTAACAGCATCATGAAAAGATTGGGGCTCCGTAATAGAATTAAGAGCTGCCAAGTAAGCTTTATGTTTCGGAGAAAAAGAGTCACAAGTAACATAATGAGTTATAGGATACGACGTACCTGAACAGGGTGACGAAGCAGGAGGAGTGGGGAATGGACTGTTTTTAATAATAGTATGCGTAACATAGTCTTTGAGACGCACCGAAGGTATGCGTGTGCGCTGTCCGCGGCCGAGTGGAGCTGGCTGCTCCTACTGGGAAACAAGAGGTGTGTCCTCTGCCATAATTGAGGATGATGATGTCCCATCAAGTGAAGACTCATCGGGTGGCCCATTTGCTTGGGACGTGAATTCATTATGTACTAGTGGCTGCACCCCTTTATTCAAATCACCAGAATATCCAAGAGAAAAGGGATCATCATAATCATTAGGCAAAAAAATAGGTGGCGAGTGAGAAGTATCTGGAGGAGAGGAATCCGATGCAAATGGAAAAAAGTGTTAAAAAAATTTTACATCACGGGACACAAAGTATTCTTGAGTCTCTAGATCAAAAACATTTCACTCTTTCTTGCCAAAAACATACCCCACATATACACATTTTCGGCTCCGATTAAGAAATTTGTCACCCTTAGAAGCTGTTCTCTTCATCTTATCTGAATTTTTCTGATATGAATTTTTTAAGTTCTGATCTGATCTGAATTTTTCTGATATGATCTGATCTGAATCTTTCTGATCTGATCTGAATGTTCCTGATCTGATCTGAATGTTCCTGATCTGATCTGAATGTTCCTTATCTGATCTGAATGTTCCTGATCTGATCTGAATGTTTCTGATCTGATCTGAATCCTTCTGATCTGATCTGAATCTTTCTGATCTAATCTGATTTGAATATTTCTAAAATTATAATTACAATTATAATTACTATAATTATAAATGTAATTACACATATATAATTTAAATATAATTATAATTATGATCATAATTATAAAAATTGTAATTATAATTATAATATTTATTTCTATAATTTTAATTGTAATTACTCCGTATAATATGATAATAACGAAAACATAACTAATAACAATAACAACAACAACCATATTAGTAGTAAGAATAATAATAATCATGGTAATAATAAATATCATAATAATAATAATAATCTTAGTAATCATAGTAATAATAATAATAATAATAATAATAATAATAATAATAATAATAATAATAATAATAATAATAATAATAATAATAATAATAATAATAATAATAATAATAATAATAATAATAATAATAATAATAACAACAATAACAATAACAACAGTAATAATAAGAATAATAATAATAATACTAATAATAGTAATATCAATAAAAATATTAATTATAATAATAATTACAATAACAACATCAGGAATAATAATAATTATAATTATTATTATTACAATTATTATAATTATTATAAATATTATAAATATTATTATAATTAGTATTATAATAAAAAGGATAAATCATGTCTGAACTTTTCTGATCTGATCTGAATGTTCCTGATCTGATCTGAATGTTACTGATTTGATCTGTATGTTCCTGATCTGATCTGAATGTTTCTGATCTGATCCGAATCTTTCTGATCTGATCTGAATGATTCTGATCTGATCTGAATCTTTCTGATCTGATCTGATCTAAATTTTTCTGATCTGATCTGATCTGAATAAAATAAGAATTAGCAATAAGTAATAAGATTAAGACGAACAGAACAGCTTCTCAGACTTCATATTGAAAGCATAGCATAAACATCCAAATACTCGCAGAGGTTTATGACAAGGGGGGACACCAAACAATATTCCATAAGGTGTTTTGTAATCATGAATCGCAGAAGGTGTGCGATTAATAAGATAAGAAGTAGTCAATACACATTCTCCCCAAAAAGAAATGGGTAAGTTCCCCTAAAATCTCAACGCACGTGCCACATTTAATATATGTCTATGCTTACGCTCAACACGCCCATTCTGTTGGGGTGTACCAACACAAGAGGTCTGGAATATGATACCACTAGTGCGGAAAAAATCTTTCAAACAATTAAACTCAGTCCCATTGTCACTTCGCACACGTTTTATTTTCTTAGAAATTTGACGTTCAACCATAGCAACAAAAGAGAGAAACATCTTGAAAACCTCCCTTTTATCAAGAAGCAGATAAACCCAAACAGCACGGGAATAATCATCAACAATTGTCAAAAATTGTCTAGCACCACACGAAGAAGGAGATTTATATGGGCCCCATAAATCACAATGTATCATCTCAAAAGCATCATGAGTTTTATTCGAACTAGTAGGAAAAGAATCCCTAGTCTGCTTAGCTCTAAAACAAATATCACAAGGAGATATTCCAAAATTTTTCAATCCACTTACGGGAGCCAAATTTTCAACTATTTGAGAAGATGGGTGACCCAACCTTTGATGCCACAAATCTGCTACAACATTCTTTGACTCTTTGATTGTCAACACATGTGTTGTTGGTTCCTCCCGTAGGTAGTACAGTCCATTCCGCCGTTCACCTGTTCTAATCAGCCTCCTCAAGGGACGGTCCTGTATAACACATAAATTACAAGTGAATTGAACGAAACAATCAAGTTTATCACTCAGTTGAGATACAGATATAAGATTACAATATAACTTTGAGACAAAAAGCACATTATTCAAATATAAATCATTTGTAAACCACACACTTCCTTCCTCTGTAGCCAAAACAGTTTGTCCATCTGGCAGACCAACGGAGCATGGTTCAACGGTTTTAATATCACATAATAAGGACCGATTTCCACAAACACGATTTGTGGCACCGGTATCAATAATCCAAGCATTATTATTAAACTTACCGGCTATGCGACCGTTAGTAGAGAGTGAATTACCAAATGTGGAGAGCAAAAATTTCCATTGTTCGGGTGTAAACCCCGGCAGAGGAGTAGTCTGGTTGTTACCTCCTTCACTGTTATGTTGCTGCTTGGTCACTATTTCAGCCACAACAGCGTGCACCTTCGCCAGAGGCTTCCCGTGAGGTGCTCCAGAACTATGATAAGAAGTATAATCGATTTCCGTCGCCGGCGTATATTCTTCCTCTTCCGTCGACATCCCTGCCGATGGTTAATCAGAAAAAGTGATCTGCGACCGATTAACCCAAGAACCTCTCTGATATCATAATAACTTTATGATTTGTGCAGGTTTGCTATTAGGAAGAAAAAGATAAAAACGTAATAATGTTTCTTCTTGCTTCTTCATAAACCGAACAACCCCTTTTTTTTTAAATACAAGAAGATGCCAATCACCCCTCTCTGGTCATCCGTAATACAGAGTATATATTAGGCTAAGGAATAGCTACCATAATTAAAATAATATACTAGCCATAAATAAATAAAACAATCTTAAACAATACTTCTCAAAAAATATCTCTCAATATCTTTAATAAATAAATGTTATCCTATAAAAAATGATAAATATATGACTAAATTTTAAAAATTGCCAAAAATAAGACTTTTTATATGCTATGACCTTGTCAATATTTATATTTTATAGTACCTTAATATTTGGCATTTCCCCTTGAATATTACTACCTGTCTAAATGGAGTAGTATATTGAAATCCAATTCAATAAACGTGACTAACTTTATACGTAGTATATGCACAAATATGTGAGACATAACTCTTATGACACTATCATCAGTGTCATTGTCGCCGCCATCAATATCATTATCTCCGCGACCGGTGTCATTGGCGCCACGAAATAAGGTACCTTAGCTTGACAGCCGGGAATTTGTTGGTGAATTTTTTGGCGAAATTTATTACATTTTTTTTAAAAAAAAACCACTTATATTAATATCATTATGATTCGGATCGTTACAACAAACTCAAAAGGGACCAACACTTACAATAATTATTTGTAACCAACTAGTGTTATCAACCCTGCGGCTAGACTCACAGACGGTAACCCCTGAAAGAGCAATATGAATCGCTAACCACCAAACGGGTGTGACACAACAATCACCGGGCATATGGATCCTTCAAATGACATAATATCTAGCTAGCAGAATTGTCAATCATTACTGTAGACGTAAAACTAAAAACATCAATAAAAAACAAAGCAACGTAAAACATAACGTGAAAATAAGACCATAAAAAATAAAATAACCGATGAATCTTCCAAACTCTATCCCCTCGATCACTCCAAGGCGGCGGTTCAGGAGGGGGGCGGACCGTCGATCTATCCTCTCCTTTGCTCAGCCCTTCACCTTTTCCCATCTGCTCGTTGCCCCTGCTGCCTGCACAACTTCCACCGCCCTCCACCCATGTTGATCCTCCAAGAATATCCCTTCGACCTCCTCCTCAATTGTTGGAATAGGACAACACTGCTCTAGATCATTCATAGAAATCATAATTATCCTTTCTTGACCATGCACTCGATCAAAATGTCAAAAAAAATGGATGCGCATAAGTGCGGCATTACACTGCTCTCGACATGCGCGAGAAAAAGAAACCCAACTCTCGATAAGTGAGAGAAAACCTAGCTCTCGACATGCGATAGAAATTAAACCTACATGAGTCTCCATTTAAGAATGGAAGGTTGGGAAGCAATTTCCACTACGCAGGGACAAACTCTTGTCCTTAAATTTATACGTAGAAAAACCCCATGCATCGAGAGCTTCTGTCTTAAATTAATTATTACAAATTGAAAAGTAGAAAAAGTTTTTTGATGGAATATTACGTACAGAGGAAACTTCATGTCCAACTGTCCTGACGGCAACTGCCGTCCAGACAAGGACATTTCGGGCACTTTCTGGTTGAATTTTTTGAGGACGTTCTTCATCAAGTCTAGTTTATCCATACCAAATTTCAACTAAAAAATCAATCGGGAAGGCAGTCAAATAATTTTTGTAAGACAACTGCGGCGTTGTTTATATATATATACAAAGCGCAATTATCTTCTAAAAATCATTTGACTACCTTCTCGATTAAATTTTTAGCTGAAATTTGATACGGATAAACTAGACTTGATGAAGAACGTAACGTGCTCAAAATATTTCATCAAAAAAAATTGACCGAGAAGTGCTAGAAATGCCCTCGGCTGGACGGCGGCTCCCGTCAAGCCGAGTGGACAGGAATGAGACTCATTACGTAGATTCATTTAAAGTTACAAATGTATTACTCCGTATTATAAACTTGCATCAGTAGGGCAGGGGCGGGCAGGGCAGGGTAGTCAAGTAATTAAGAATTACAACTTACAAGTATGATAAATATATACTTTCTCCGTTCCTTTTTAGTTGCAACAGTCAACATTTAACACTTGCGAACGCACATATTTGACCGTAATTATATCTTAATCTCTATTCATAAAAACAATTAAAAACAGATTTTGAAAATTTGTAATGAGATGAATTGGACAATATTTTTTAAAAAATAGGAGTAATTCTCATAAAATAATAGCGTAAAATGTAGTTAAAATAGAACATGTGAATATTGCAAAATTCAACATGTTGCGATTAAAAAAATAGAGGATAGTAAGTACTACTTTCTAAATGTTACTCACAATTTTGTAAAATAAAAAATTAATTATATACGGGGTACGAGTATTTATTTTTCAAAAAAAAATGGAGAGATAATACTCGTATTTTAAATAGGAAAAAGAATAAGTTATTCGGCGTGGTTCTGGTAAACTGTCTTTTCAATTCGGTGACTCACCTAATTTTTATACTACCTCACTAACTTAAAGAGGATATGAATTATTGAGGGTATGATGAGAAAATAATGGAATAATGTGATGGAATGTGGGATAAATCCCCAAAAAATAGTTGTAATAGTGTATTATTTTAAGAATTATTGAGGGTATGATGAGAAGATTTAGAAATAAGACTTTTTTTTGTTACGGAAGAAAAAGAAAAGTGGGAAGATTTTTATGTTAGGAAGGAAGTAGTAACGGTATGTCATACTCCGTATTTCATAAATTATACGGTGCAACCGGCGTACCATGCGCATGGTATGCCGGTTGCTAATATGGTACCGTTTTTTGCTTTTCTCATGCTTCCAAAAGTCCAAAGCCTAAATTACGGAAGTATTCTTTCTACGAGGTAAGTACTTCCTTTTTCTTTATTGTTCTTTTCTATTTTTTTTAATTCTTTTCTCTTTAACATCAAATACTAAAAATTTATTTGTGATTTTACTTATCTTTATCTTTAACTAATTAAAATATAAATGAATTTACATTTTTTCTTTACCAAAATATTACAAAATTTTATTAATCCACATAAAATAAGTGTATTGTAATACATTTTATATTTTATTAATCCACATAAAAAGCATATTTTATTAATCCACATAATAATTGAATCTATTTTTTTTTATTCTCTATCAATGCATAACAAAAGTTTATAAATCTAAATAAAATAAGTATATTCCATCATTCAGCTCCTAGACAATGAAATCACATCTTCTTCTGCGCAAGTTACATATTAATGTACGCGAGTTAGATCTAAATATACGTGAGTTACATCTTAATGTATGTGAGTTACACCACTGAATAAACTCTAGTTATATCATTTTTATTGCCCTAATATTAAAAATAAAACATATTCACTATTTATAAAAAGAAATTAAGCTATTAGGATCAATTTTTCATTGTTTACATTGAAATTAAATCAATGTTTATAATATCTCAAACACAAAAAAAAATCATTGTTCAACTTTCCAACAAGTTACATTCTGTATACACCCAAGCTACATTTGGCATCAATGTGAGTTACATTTGTAATAATACGAGTTACATTAAAAAATCAACCCCCGCTATTGAAACAAAAAAAAATGATTTTTTCTAAAAAATTATTTTTTATAGCCATGATATTAAAAACAAAACATATTCCCATTTTACCTAAAACAATTGTGTAATTAGACTCTCTTTTTTCATTATTTACATTGAAATCAATATTTGACAAGTTACATTATGGATGGGCTTGAGTTACATTAATCAATAACGCGAATTACATATCTTTACATGCACGCGAGTTACACCATCTATGTTACTGGGACAAAAAAAAAGTCACTGCACACGTGTGTACTGTTCACGCGTGTACTATTCATGCGTTTTTTTTTAAATTGTCCAAAACTACGTCGTTTTGGGAGTGAGAGTACGGTGCTCATGGTGGGACGATTGTATGGTATACCAACTGGTATTTCATTGATTTGTTGTAATAAACAATGGCGGGCCAGAAATCCAGACCCGGATTCATTCATTCAAATACCGGTACGCTTTGTATTCCCTCCCTTTATTATCCTTCTGTTTTATCATATCAGCTGTATACATAAACAGCGGTCGTCCCTTTTCCTTCGTTGCCTAGTCTGAGCTGAGACTCTTCGTCTACTCCGACATTACTCCAGTCGTCATCAAACAATGCTCATTTCTTCCTCTTCTTAGTATATATATATCCTTTTGCCTTCTTCTTCTCCTTCTCCCTAACCCGTTCATGCGCTTAGATAGATTCAAACATTGGCCACGATGAACATCAAGGCGTTACCGTGTCATGTTTCAATCTTCTACGATAGGAACCGTCCGTTTCAGGATAACCTTCCTCGTCCAGGATCCGTCAAAGTTAACTTGCATCAGCGAACTCCTCCTGGCTCCACAAGTCTGAAATTCAGAGTGTTCTGCGAGTTAACTGTAATTTTACTCTGCAGTCTGTACCTTCCTTTTTCATCTCCTGGTGCCTATTTTAGTATCTGCATTTTACTCCAAACACTTTTTATGAAATTTCTTAGCCATACTATTTGTTTTGTATTGGAAGAATTGCGTAAAACTTAGTTGGTTGTTAATTAGTATCTGATTATTTGAGTATGACAGGATCTTACGTTTTATTTAGTACTTGAATTTATATCATTGGCACTTCGGTAACTGTTTCAACCTCCTACTATAGGAACCCTGAACCTTCCATTTCCTGACCTGCATTACCTTATATCAGTAAACCATTACATTTTCAAATGATATAACATATCAATAAAACATTTATTGATATCATTAAATTGATATATAACATAATAATTCCAATTTGTCAGTATTTGTATAGGTTATTTGTCATCCATAAGCTCCTGTGTCATGATATTTGAGAGTTAAGAGTGCATTTGTTTTCCTTTAAATGATGTCAAATTGTAAGTACTACGTATGTGATATGAGCAAGGGATTGTTCAAATCAGCAAAGCCATCTTTTTTTAGGAGGTGCAATAGCTTTTTGGCACCGGGGCCCACTCTTATAGGGTGCCTCCAAGTATTTAGAACGTACATGGGCGGAGCTAGGGATGGGCCAACTTAGGCCAGGGCCCACCCCAAATTTTGAAAAT